ATGCAAACGGACTTTGTTGTAACTTAACGATGTAGTCGAGCGTTCCCGACATATCGTTCGTACTTTCGTTTAATCGATAGAGGTTATGAGCATCTTTCTATTAAATATTAACGTGCTCTTATTTCCTTACGCGTCAATAATTCACGTACCTCGAAGGGGGATCTAAATTGAGCCCTATACGTCGGAAATAAGGGCGAGGACGACGGCGGAGCGGGCGAGGGCGTTTTGTTTACCGTCGCTGAATATTAAGAGCCCTACGACACGCGTTATTAACGAGGATCATGTCATTTTTTAAATTTTATATGCGCTTGGAGCTCGTTGCCTTAATTTTATTGATGTAACAGAGTCTCTTCGGAGTACCGCAGTCTTGGGCCTGATTTACATGCGTACGGGCAAGGAATAGCGAAAACCATAGTGCTTAAGGTCTCCATTTTGTTCCTAAATACTGAAATATATTAGAATGTTGTTACTAAATACCGAAATCGTTAATTAATTATTGAACTCATTCAGTATATACGATCGACTGCATTACGGAAGTGTTTTATTAATCGGATTGAGACTTTTTTGCACAGTGGAATTATTGTACTATGATTTACTTGAGTTACATCAGTTATTTTATATTACATGAGATAAAAGTGTATCATTTAATGTTTTACAAAAACTTATGTAGCTGTAAGAAAATATGCTTTTGTTGTCATTCACGACAACCTGCGACGATCACGAGATGCTTTGCGAGTATGTATGGTTACAAACATCGTATGTCATGTCAAGGCGCGCAAAATGTATTAGTTAACTTATTTTAACAAATGGTTACGGATGGTATGGCTGCGACAAAGCGTAGGAACCGACGTAAATTTAAAAAAAAGTCAAGCTCAGTATACTATCGTAAACTACAAGCTACGCTCAAATTAAAGATAATATTTTCTCCTATACATATGTAATAGCCCACGTCATTTCTGAGCAATAACGAACCCGGGTTGCTTTTCAATTTATAACTATGGAAGGACATATCGCTACACTCGTAGATATACCTACGACAAATAGAGAACGTCGTGACCTCGGTGAGGACGGTGACGCCTCATGTACATACATACTGTAGGTACACGGACCTAATGACTGAGCGATAAACCGCGGTCTATTTGTCTGAATTACATAACGCGGCCACACATAAATAACGTTGTCACACTCAGCCTGACTCATTTTCCCAAAAGGTCCATTAGGTGGGTCCGCGCAGTCATCGCGACTCTCGTACGGAATAAACGAAAATAATTTCCATAATTATATGACTAATTTGTCGGCAGAGGGGACACGAGCTCCTTTTAATTGCGATTCGCCCTTCTCTCGTCGAAAATAAATAAAATACTTCCTGAATTAATTGAATCCTCTTTCTGAAATACGTTATTATTAATGAGAGCGGAGAACAAGACAATTCCCGATTTCGCCGAGAGTGGCCTAACCAGTGGAACGAAAGGTTACACTTCAACATTTTCAAAAGTATTTTTTACGTGCCGCGGTTACGAGAACTTATATCATTGAGCGTCGGTGAGACATAATAAGTGACGTAAAGGCATTTTCGTGAATACCTTGACTTAATATTTTGAATGTAATTATTCAATATTTTGATGAATCAAACGTTGACAATGGGCCCTCGGCGACGAGGGGTAAAAGGGATAAAAGGGGGATTAATTGGCGCGAGTCGCAGCTCCGCGGCATTGTGGCCCTCGGCCCGATTGCTTTAGCATTGTTTAAAGGTCGGTTGTGCCCTAGACGTACTAATTGTCTAAACGACTATTATGCGAGGGAAGGGCATTGTTTTAGCTCTATTTTTCGCGTTCCTGTTTTGGTTGTGTGGTTGTTCGCAGCACCCCGCCTTTTAATAACCCACAACAACAGGCGAACACAATGCATGTGTTCACACTGAAATGTAAACCTAACCATTTGCTGGTTTCCGAGCTCGCTATTAAAGAACATGATGATTATAAAAGCTGCGAGGTTAAAATTTGTTAAAATCGGTATATTGAACTTCTTAGACAGATGAAGCTCAACACAACGTGCATACAACATTTATTTTAGTAAAGATACTTAGTAAACACGTTTAAAATGCTTTTTAACTTGGGCCCGACGTTTCGGATGCTTTGCAGCAGCCGTGGTCACGGGAAGACTCCGAAACGTCGGGCCGAAGTTAAAAATCATTTTCAAATAAGTTTAACTAATATATCGCGTTTTAAACCGTTGTTAGTGTTTTATTTAAATGTGTACTACTCGACTTAACTATAGACAGTAGTCGAATGAACTTTGAAAAGACAAGTACGAGCTCGTGTTTATGTTCGTAAATATCGTCTGCTTCGTCTCATCGGAAGTCGAGACGGGAATAGCTCGACCGAATTAAACTCCTCACAACTTACCACATGATGCTGTGCACCGCTGGCGATTGATTATTTTCTTTCAATTCATTTAAACATACATATATAACACCGTGACTTTAAAAATGTAGCTTCGATTGATTTTGGTATATTTTTGTGTCTATACTTTTGTGCTATAAAACACACTATTTTGAATTTATTCAGTGATCAATATCGAATACTCTGAGAAGTAACTTTTGAGGTCTTGCTACTATTATATATATATATATATTTTACTACAATTAAACTCGGAAGATAATTTTAATGATGAGGCGCCTGCGCGGCCTTAAGAATGATAGTGAAGACTAATAGCATCAATTAATAATCAATCAGACAGCTTATGCGCTAGATTAAGCTCGAACCTAATTGATTGTTATTGCATACGAAGGAACAGCGAGGTCAGAGCGATTCAAAAGACAAACTACTAACGACACTCGGAATTTTCAAAGATACAATAGTTAATGTGTTCATCTAAAATTGCTGCTGTAAATTAATCAGGAACAATCCGGAACAACGACTCCACAGATTATAGTCAATGGAACTACTCATAAAAGGTAAGATCGCCTTTCGGGCTAGTTACAGTGGATAAGTGAGCACGGTTTGAGTAGCGCTCGAGATGCTATGGACTTTGGAGAGACTCCAATCTGAAACAACGGAGCGAGAGGTAAGACTCTCGCGGCCGAGTGCACCGCAAAGGGGCTCCTCGTGAGCGAAGGTCGCACGAGGTATTAATTAGAGGATATCCATCGATAGTCGGCGTCAACGAATGCGGAATCCGCGACTAACGTTTTGAGTGATAATTTGTATACGAGAATTCCAAATTATTCCTAAAAGCTTTTTTAAACTGCGTTTCAAAAATGTAATCCGGACATAAATGGTTTTAGTCGAAAATGTTTAGCTCTACATTTGGCGTGATTGTTTGTCAAACAAACACGCGTGCGTTTGTCCGAGCGCGTATTCGACGCATTTTAGCTCGACTGCGAGCTTTTCGCTCTACGACAACATTATTTTTGTAGCTTCGATATAAATTCATTCAGCATACATTGAAGGAGAAACGTGCATAATGTAATGACTAGCCAAAAATGAAGAATCGTTTCGCGAGTAAAGATTGCATTTGGGTACAATAAAGATCAGGTTTTCTTCCTGTTTAAAGAGCTCCTCGCAAACGATGTCTTTAATGTCCTCAATTACGTAAAAACGACAAAACGAAACTGTATCCCTCCATGTCGGGAACGTTTGGAAGGAAACCTTTATTTTCTCAGCGTTTTATTTAATTAATGTTGTTTTAAACGCGTGCTGAGAGTAATTGATATCTTTCCTGCTTTATTCGTACTTTCGCGATGACTCACAAGTCCGACTGGACTCTCCGTATCGTCTGTTTACAAAGGGATATTGCTAAAAATCATTTATCGATGTTGCCTTTGCGTATTTAGATCGCTAAAGTATTTAAGAACAGTTAACTTCGCTTAAATAGGTATCTGCTGCGTTTTAGACAGATACCCGATGTAGTACATTCAATTAGGTCTAAACTTATCTCAATTAGGGGACAATATGTAACGGTTCGGTTGGCGCGCGTCCAAACGACGAGACCGCATCCATCAGACGTTACGCGTTCCGAATTAAGTTAACGCGTACACTGCGTGAGCTATATATGCGAAGCCCGACTCTCCTCGACACCGGTGCTTCGTGACGAATCGGTAGGTGAGAGAAGTTTAAAGGGGTCGCTCAAAAATTTCATACCGAAAATAAGACCCCACCGCGCGTTGCCTTTTAAACTTACTTTGACACTTACAAATATAGTCCAGCGCAAGCGAGCGACATACATTTAATTTAACGATCTCCATTTTAATGCAAGGCATGCTTTGTTTTACTGCGCTGTAAACAATAGAACACGCTGCGCTCGTGTGAATTGTGGTGACACTTTTTGTCGCCAGTTTGTTGAATTCGTGGTATCTATGCTTTCTTCGTTCACTGTAAAAGTAAAAGGTGATTCTGATCGTACGTAACCAAGTGATGTTTTATAATAGAGGAATAATACATAATAATATTTGTGTACATAGAGCTAATAAACATTTGGATATTTGGAAATCGACTGACCGGAACCGAAACGCGATTAAACTTAACGGCTTTTTATCTGTGGACGAAATTTCTTGTGCATCTACCTAACCTTAAACCTTCAGACATTATCAAAAGTAAAAATAATTTACATATTTCATGTAATAAAAGTCAACGTATTGGCGAACAGTTGCAGTATCAGAGTAAGAACGTAAGTCGTCGCAATGAATAGAAACAAAAGCGATAGACTGAAGTAAGCAAACAAAAGCTCGCGCCCACCGGATCAGGATGGAGGCGACAGTGGAACCGCGTCGCGCCTCACGCGCGGAAAACGACGGGCTTCCGACGCGCAGCCGGTCTATCGAGACACAAACGTTAACGCAAGAAGAGACTATACTAGCGAGAGCGACCCGACTATGCTTATTCTTAGTGAGCTCTTCTTAGATAAACATATTTTTCACTTGCATATCGACCCTCAGCGAAGCTATTTTCGTAATGCGGTTGTATCTCTGATAGTAATAAGGGCTTCTTAGATTGTCCGTTATGGTGGGGTATAGGGCAGTCCGTTTTAATTCATTGGAAGAAACCATCGGTCTAATTCAAAGTGAAGTATTGTGGGACGAGAAGGCGCGAAGTTACATTGAGTTGCGCCACAAGTGCGCCATTGTGCGCGCCCTCAATACCCGCATTGTCCGTCGCACCTCGCTCACTCGTTCGCTCGTCGATCTGAATACGGCACACCTCGCTCTATGAGACGCTCCACTATTCCTTCTCCATTGTTCGCCTTGACGAGATGTGCATTCCGTTCGACTTTACGATTACAATTCGCGGCTAAGACTGACGCTGCTCTTTCAAGATGAACAATTTTTTTTCGTTTTTTCCACATTTCCTGCTATTTCTTCGCGCTCTAGCTTCAGCGCGATGTTTTATAGCCTAATAATATAGATAAATTCTCTAACCGACATAAAAATAATGTTTCAATTAAAACCAGTAGTTCCTGAGATTAGCGCAGACAAACAAACATACTCTTCAGCTTCATATATTAAGTAGAATTTTTAGCGCAGCAAAACCGCTCGTGCAAAGCATTTTAACTTCCACAATGTATGTCGTACGCTCTCCGCAGATACCTCGGTGGGTATCGACACAATTGGAAACTGTTACGTCCCTCCGAAGGCACAACTCGCAAACGGAACCACAGACACTTCAACTTTGTCGCAGGAAGTGCTGGGAACACATTGTTCTGCAAACAAGTAGATAAACAAGCGCAGAATTGCGTGCAGCCGCCGACAGCGAAGGGGAAAAAGACGGTTGGACTTCATTTTCACTCCTATTGATCTGACCAGTTCTCTTGAAAACGTGTAAAAAAACTGAGCGAAATAGTTTATTTTTATGTCCCTTATTAGGAAAGGGGACTTCGATATGTTCGTGCTACGTTGCAAAATTCATCCTCAGCAAACATACACTATGAATATAATTATATATAGCTTAACAGTCGAAAGGATTTCCAGCTTTCAGCATTCGGTGACAATGCTTCCTCTTCCTAACTTAGACCAGTCTGTGGAAACATCTTAAGAACTACATATTATTATTATTCTCCGCTGTATTTTTACACTTTACAAAACGACACGAAATAATTTTAACCACACGAACTTAGGAACTCTTAGGAATTATTTATTTATGTATTTTGTATTCCAAGTAATTATTGTGTAATTATTTGAAGTCTGTCCAGACCTTACTTCTCGCGTTAACAACAGACTGTATTTATAAGAAGAATAATCAGAAAAATCGGGCTAGCGAATTTAACAAAAGAAGTAAAAAGTACTTCAACTTCTAACACATCGACCTCGCACAATACAGTAGTCACGTAATTGATATTAATTCGCACTTTTCACGCGAAATTCTCTTAATATCTCGGAGGCAGTCGAGACACGAGAAAGATTACAAAAGTAATTCCCCGCTGATCCTCTTCTCTCATCCATATTAAGCGAATTGTAACGGATCGTGTGCGGGGATTCACAATTAGCTCGAGCCGAAGCTGTCGCCGCCTCCATCAGCTTTCGAGCTCGTCAGGATTAAGGTGACGACTGACGGATGCTTTTGAGACATTTCGTTCACTGCGCGAGGCTCTGTCACTTCAACGTGCAAATAACAATCTTCTCCGTAGACGATCTAACAGTATAAAAAAACAAAGTCAACCTCTCCGACGTGTCGAGCTGTGAGAGATATATCATATAGAATCGCAAAACCGGTTCACGAAGGTCGGATCACTCAATAAGATCAGTCGACCGGCAAACGTCCACTTTACTCGTTCGAAGTCCCAAGAGAGTCGTGGTTACTTTGCACTCACTAGGAAAATCTAGAACTCCGTTTGAGACAATTCGATTCCAGCGTTCCATGATTTATTTAGGGTTTTGTGTAGGTTATATAATAATTCACTCGCGCAATATTAAGACAGGTGTTTATTCTTAAACACTACTGAATTTAATATCGCTCAGTCTAGACGTAATAACGTAACTGTTAGGGGTCGTGCGAAGGTCGCAACAATAATAACTAATTATTTCAAATGAAGTCTCGACCCGACTTTGCACGAAGTGTCTGTCCGTGCAGTCTTAAGACACTTTTGTGTCGCAGGGGTTGAAGCTGTTAAATATATTCATAGATGGGCTTCGATTAAACTCTTATTGGTAAAATTAGAAAGGCGCTTTGAATGCGTATAATTAAATCCAGATCTACATTGATCCCACGATCGTGATTAGCTTCTATAGCCATAATTACAAACAACTCTTGATTTTGTTTAGTTTCACCAGCTAAAAACTAATAAATAATAATAAACTAATTGCAGAGCTTTTAAGGTATGCTTTGCGCTTACAACGTCAATCACGGGTCGTAACATAGGTAAACGAAATAATTCAATGTCACTTGATATACTTAATCAACAAACGACGACGCTTTGGAAGGTTTCGTAGCCGAAAATGAAAGGGTAAAACGACACCCATTCTTAAAACCGCTATCCGCTCGACCATCTGTCACTGTTGCTGCTATACCGGCTATAAACGAAACACGAAAGTAAATATTTTAAGAGCCTTCCTTTTTCATCTCTCACTTTAATAGTTAGCGTGGACAAGTTTGTCTCGCACTTCGGTGGGTTTTGCACCATTTTTGACAACGCAGAGCCCTAACTAAGTACACAATGCGAAAGTGGGTCGGGATTGTATATCGAAGCGCGTCGGGTGCCAAGTGGCAGCGGTTTCGCGACACCGGACTTATTTACGACGAGGCGTATTTTATCGCGCGGCTGCGCGCTATGGCGTTCGACGTAGATCGCCTCATCTTTGAGTCTTCATTTCGACCGTCGGGTCTGTTCTAAGACCTGTCGGGTGACTCTTTAGGCCGAGTAAAAGTTCACTCGAAATTCGTATTGCCAAACGTCGTCACAGATGTTAACTATATTCTTGGCTTTTAGCTAATTATAATCGAAACTTAATATGCAGAGCCGTCAGAACAAATTGGCGAACGCTCGGATAAAACAACGTTTTGAAATTGAAAGCGGATCCGTTAAAATTAAGCTTTCCGAGCTTCGATAACCCTAAATTGTATCGTCAAAGGGAATATCGGTCCGAACGACGCTCGTTCGCTGAAGTACCGACCGCCGACACGATACTCGCGTATTAACTTTTCCACACTCGTCCCCGGACCGCCCCGGTTTTATCTAGAGTATATAGGCTGCGAGATATGAAAAGATAATATAGAAAAATCGCGATTTTATTATTGTAATTCTGCCCACGAGGCCAATGTAAATATAGTGGAAAATTCAAAGCGTCCCAGTGTGTGTCGACCACGACGGCTATGGCGCATAGCGTTTGAATAAATATGAGTCTCCACACGAGCCGAGAGCTTTTAAAATTCAAATATGGCTGAAGCACTTTCGAACGGGAGTCCGATTCAATTATGGGCCGATGCGATCTACGGTGCGTTAGCTCGCGGCCCGCGCCGCGTAACAAAGCGATATTTTTCATTAGTAATCGCACTCTTATTAATACGGCGTACTCGAACGGAACTTTCGATAAGTCCCGGACAAATTCACGTCCGTCTCAGGTAGTCTGTGGAAATGTGCCTATATTTAAAGCCGTACGCTCCGCTATGCGCCTGAGCCGAGCCTCCGGCGGAGCGATTTCATATCCCGATCTCATTACGACGACGCGCCCGAAAGGCAGCAATCTGTCGTCAAAGGAGTGATTAGCATATATTACGAGCGGCTAGTGGAGGGCGAGTAATGTAATGACGTTCGGCGGAGGCCGGTCGCGTGTGTTATGCGACCGTTTGACCCCGCATTTCCATGCCAAAGAGCCGCTGCGAAGCCTCGATATTAGCTCACGGCGAGAGAATCTCGACCTAACATTACGATTACGTAATTGCTTCCTCGCTTCCCGTCGATTTTCGCCCGATCCACTCCACTTCCACCGACAAGAAAGCCTTCGCCGCAATCGTTACCCGCTTCGACGTTGTCCAGGCTCAAGGGCCGTCCCGCTTGCAATGGCACATAATTTAACAGGATTTGCGAGCTAAACAATATGGCTAAACAATCTCAGTGTGAGTAAATAACAGTCTACGGCTCTATTTCCATCATTAGGCTGAACAAACGGACTCGGCATCGAGTTCAATGAAATCTCGAAGCGATTAATCATTCCGAATGCTCGTGTCGTACTAAGCTAATTCAAACATGACTCGGTATACGATGACGTTGACAAATTCCCACAGAACGCGGGGCTAATGGACTTCATTGTATCACGTCGAAGGTATCGAAACGGCTCCTTAAGTTCACGGACCACAGTTCGAGCGGCGCTACCAGTGTCACCGACTGTCGTCGTGCGACTCCTGTGCCTACTGGTGGAGAGTGCACTGTGCGCCCCGCCCTCGAGCGCCACATTAGTCGATAAAACTTAAGGCGTAATATATTGGCAGTTAGCTAGAGCCATCGAACGTCAGAGCCGTGTCACTTCTCAAAGCTAAAAGACACCTTCCGAAGGTCCTTCTCGGATAATTCAATTATAAACGAAGATATAGTAGGCAGGAGTGGAAAAATTCAGCTCAATTTAAACTATTTCAAAGAGGATATGGCCGGCTTAGCGCGCACTTATTATTAGTAAAGAAACAAATGGACGCTCGTGGGAATGAGCCGAAAGCTATTTCGCAATTTGCCTAGAATCTAGATGTTTCTAATTAGTACATTTCGCCTCGCCGAATAGGGCTCTTCAAAATGGATCTCCTTCGGTCTACTCTTTCTACGGCGTAGGTGCGCGCATCTGTACGAAATGTTACTGAAAGAACCGATCGCTAATTAAATTGAAGCCGAATTTATTTCGCCTACATTTTGATTTCACACGGTTTCTACGTATTCCTTTTGACTTTGAATGTTCACGTAAATAAACATTGAAACCTGCCGATTCGTGTAGGAACCGATATCGAGGCATCAGCCGAGACGAACTATGATCCGTAGATGCGTAGATGCGTAACATTGTAACTTACTTTTATAAAAATTTTTTTAGTTATTATACTACTGAACTAATTATATAGTAAATTGTAAATAGTTGTTACTTCATTACATTTATCTTTTTAGTCTAGTTCATAACTTTCTATTAGATCAAAGCGAATAAAATCTTACATTCATAAAAAGCATAACGCGTTAATAAATATGAAATAATAATAATAGCTATTATTTTATATTAACGAACCCTAAACCCAATTTGCTTTTCCAAATTTTAAGGGGAGTAAATAACTGATTTCCAGAAATAAAATACAAACAAATAAAGAAAATAGCAACAAGATAGAGATGTTCGTCATTAAAAGTTCCATTCGCTGACCCGTCCAAATTTAAGTGATCTTTTCTCCCTTCCCTAACATTCCGACAAACCTTCAGGAAGTCTCTTCGACTTAGATAATCCTGCACTAGACGCGGAATTTCAATTTTATTTATCACCTCCTAGCCAACTTGGACTGAGTCCTCTAGTTATGATTGGAAGAATGAGATGAATGACAGGTTTGGCGTAATTCCCATTTTGCAGCAAAAAAAGGCTTGCATATTAAAATCTTATCTAATATTTTACTTTTTTATAAAGCAAACTTGGCCTCCGTTCATAATTAACAATTAATAAAATAATGAATATCAAGCAGGGAAAGTAATCCGAAAAATTAGTTCAAAATTAATTAATTTCTTAAAAATTTTAACGAAGCAAGTAGTAAGTTTAATTTTAAATCAATCTTAATGAGATTTTGTTTTACTTTGCACGGATATTGTGAGCGTTACAAAAGTTATAAGTTATGCGCAAGCGAAGCCAGCCTTAACTCAATAAAGGCGATGTAGGTTAATAAAAAACATAATGTCCTCACCCGCGGAAGCCCGTTCGGTTATAACTACCTGCGCGATAATTACCTTTTACGCTTTGGATAAAATTAATCACTCGTCGCGTAATATTTCCAACTACACGAGGTAGGTGGAGGGGTAAAGCAGTAGAAGCGCGTCGTGTGAGCCTCGAGAAAACCGCAGACGCCCAATAACTCGAAAAACTTGTTACCCGGGCTGCGTTACTTTGTTAAGATTATCTTTTGTCACGGAGAGGTATGTATTTCTGTCTTTTGTTTTCATTCCTCAAGCGTTACGTAAGATTGAATTCGGTTGAACATCCTGACGACGTATTATTAATAAAGAAAATTAATTAATCCCGCTACTTGCGTTCACTGCCATAATTAATATTTAATTTTAATTAATGAGTAGCCCTCAAAAGGATTCGAACGTAAGTCTGACGTGCACGCGAAGTGCTAACGTTGGCGCTCCGCCAAAGCGGCCGAAGGGTCACGCGTTGCGCCTTCGCCATCTCCGTCCGTTCGCTTCTTGAATTGGCCCCATTATTATCGCCCCCGACGCGGACGGCGCACTCGAGGTGTTATGTACGACGCTAATCCCACGTCTATTTTTTGAGAAAAAGATTGGGGCAAATGAGGAATGGAGGTTTAACGCCCATTAAATTGATAAATACTCGTAAATGCACAAATAGCCGTCTTTACACTCGCCACTCGCGGAGACTATTAAAAAAACTGATATAGTTACACCTTATACACGGGCTTTATAGAAATACTAGATGTGCTCGGCTGCCATAAACATTAAAAAATTGGGCTTCAAGACTTTAAAACTTCAAGTGTTCAAGAAAATAGACTAGTGCGCACTTTAATAAAACTACTCCCAAATTATTTTCCTGTCTAAATTTTATTCCAACAACGAATTTATAAATACTGTCTATAGTTTACGCGAGTAGTACACATTTAAATAAGACACTTTAACGGTTTAAAACGCGATATATTACTTAAACTTATTGTTAAAAATCATTTTCAAATAAGTTTAACTAATATTATACTACGTACTAGCTATATTTGTGTAGCAAAAATTACCCTCCATATTTTAATAACTATAGATTTACAAGAAAAGTTAGTTCTTAGCGACGCTATTATTAAAGTGCTCATCGACTTTACACGGAGCTACCCCGGTCGATGCGTGTGACTTAACTTCGAAAGCGAGAGAATACTCGAAAGACGCAACAGGTGACGCAACGGCCCTCGCCCCGACCCGACTCTCCCCACTATAATTACTCACAATTCCCCGATGACCTTCACATTTCGCCGATCACACTTTTCGGGCACCCCTTCGTGACAGAGTTGCAATAAAGGAAATCGCTAGCTGGATCCCTCTGAAGGGAGAGTTGGGCACCGAACGAGCATGATCCATGAGTAACTGCACCGACGACAAAGCGCTTTCGACTTTTATAAGACTAAATATTTAATCTATCAATAAACAGCATTTGGCTGTGGCTTCTCTGTAAGAATAGAAAAGGGCCCTAAGGTCGCCTTCATCGAAGCGTTAAAGATCGGATCTCGGCTCCAGTCGGCGAGGCAGCTCTTCCGAATAAATGCAGCTTCTTCGCGTGGATC